TTGCTGTTACTGCGAGCATTGGCTTGAATAGATCAGCACATGCCGTGTGTTTATGTAAGCTGTGCTTATTAATACATTTCGAAATGTCTACCGTTGTTCACAATACATGATTGACATCGATCGAAGATCGAATTTATGACCGTGCGAATTTCGTTTCTATTCTCTTTCATTTCATTGAACGAATTTTTGTTATAACTTCTTAATAAAGTTCTATATGACCTATGTTTACGTAACATTTTTTTCTTACTTTGTGCCATAGAATATACTGACAAAGTTTGAATATTAAAACCTGGGACACCCTGTATAATAGAAATCCCTTACACTACGGTATCTTTCACAGCAGTGTAAAGTTGATGATCATATTTAGGTGACCATATTGGATGATCATGTTTAGATGATCATGTTTAAATAATCCTGCTTAGATGGTCATATTTAGATGATCTCATTTGGATGATTTAACTTAAATAATTATATTCAGCTGACCATATTAAGTTCATTATATTTAGATAATCATATTTAGGTGACCATATTTGGATGATCATATTTAGATAATAATATTTCGATGATGACGTTTAGAGATAATCATGTATAGATGATCATATGTAGATGATTATATTTAGATGATCATATTTATATCACCTTATTTAAGTGATCTCATTTGGATGATCATACTTACATAATCATATTTAGATGATCACACTTAACCATATAATTTATATTAATTCAACCTTGATTATGATCTATTGATCTATCTATTAAATTCTATTTAAATCCAACGTCATATCACTTTAAATTTTCTTCGAATCGTTAGTACTAATTCGCGAATAAATACTTTATATCTGAGAAAATTCTCCGAATGGAAATGGTTGAATCACGAAAATCCAGTTACCGGGTTAAACAAAGACCCGTGAATACTAAAGTTTAGCGTACGTGGGTCGAACGTGTTCATTCGCTGGACAGGTTAGCATCTACAGAACAAGAACCAGTCTCTATCTCGTTGTTCGCTTCGCATCGTTATATCGCAGTTTGTTTTCCCACGGCGGGAACCTCATTTTATGACGGTTAAGCGAGATCTTCTGGACGATGGGAGGGGGGGGGGGGGAAGTAGCTCGCTGGGAGAATAACAATCGCGATGCGAGCTTTTATAAGATTACCCCGCTATTGAAAGATACAACGGTGAATGCTCAGCATGCTTTGAACGGTCGGCAGCGTTCTGGCAGCGGGATCTGGTATTCCGTGCAGCTTTAATCTCCCGCCGTGCACTTTTCCCATCCTTGACGTTTTAGAATGCTTTTCGGATTTTTGCTTCGGAATTCGCGGCCATAGATTCAAATGTGGCTTTGTGTACGAGGAGAGAATGATGGGTGGCTGGGGATTGTATCAATTCGATTATTCCTTTGTTCAACAGATTTGAACAGATTCCTTGCGAGATGTATTCTAAGTTTAGTGACCCTATCTCGTGTAATTTTTAAGCAAATGTAAATGTACAAGACTAATCCATATACTATAATGTAATACAATTTTACAACTATACATACAAAACTAATTATACAAACAATATAAATATATATTATTTAGACATATTTTTTATAATACACATAATTATTACATATATATGTAATAATTATATATTATGTATATATATATATAATATATATGTATAATATATGTATAATATAATATATATGTATTTAATACAACTACATATATGTGTATGTGTATTATAATAATATTATATATAATACTATTATAATATAAAAAAATATTATTATATTATATTATATATAATTAATGTATATAATATAATAATATTTTTTTTTATATCACACATACACATATATGTAGTTGTATTAAATTTTATTACATTATAGTAAGTAATTATACTATAGTATATAAATCTTATATTAAACGCAGAAGATCTGCAGTCCGATTAGGATAAGTCCGTTATTGGCACAAAATATCTTCGCCTACACTTTATTCTCGATTTTACTGCATCGTTTAATATTTTAAGCTTGTTTTGACCAAAAAATCACGCGTGCACTAGATCTTGAAAGGTATGTTACCTGCTTTATTGTAGGAACCATTCGTTCCCGCTGGTTCCAGATGATAAAAAAGTTGCGTGATTTTCGAAACATTTGTTCCAATGATAAAGGGTGTAATGCAACAGCAAACCGTGAAAAGACCACTTGTCAGGGAACAAACAGATTGCACAAAGCGGACCAGTAAAGCAAGCGCAATACAATGTAGGACGGCAATAATACACTCGTCTATGAGTTGGTGCACCATGTCCGCGTTCCCTTCGTTGCTACCACGCATGTATCCTGCACTCTCATTTCGGAATTTCTGTTATTTTCCGTGGTTTCCGTGGTTTAGTTATTTTAGAAACATCTAGACGGGGCCCGACTGGTTTTATTTTGTTTACGGACGCCGCGAACGCTCGTTTAATTTGGCTCACTTTCAACACGAACGCAGTGAATGTCTTCAAATGTTAGACGTGCGCGAAATTATGGATAATTGGCAAATATCGTGCGAGAGAAAATTAACCGAATACGGAACATTTTAAAAATGTTATCCTTACTAATCGATACTTCAACCATCATGCCAAATTAAAACTGTAAAGTTCAGCTGAATGATATGAATTACATTTTCGTCATACTTACGTTTTGCAAGTTCCAATAAAATTCGGAAAATATAATAGGTTAGCGTGCAAATTAATTTGCAAATCTGAGCAAATAATTCCGTTACTCGTATGTGTGTGATATGGCAGTCAAAGTGGTAATTAAAATAAATACGAGGTTGTAACATAACACAATCTTGTGTTTTTAACTTTGAACATAATTTTTGTTTAGTCTTATTGAGTCTTAAAGGCGGTTCGTTTATATTAATTTGTAAAAGTCACATGCGTTTATTCACATTTCTGGCGATTTTTGCTATGATGCAACGATGATCCAACGAGATTAAATAGGAACTTCGTTTTTATCTGAACTAATTAAAAGAATATAAACGGTCAGATAATAGAAAGATTAATTACAGTGCTAGATTAAATATTTACTGATTTATACAATAAATATAATTGTATATGAATCGTCTTACTAATTAAATACAAATAAATTGTTGACAATAATAATATAATAAGTCAATATATAATTATGTATGTATAATCAATGTCTTTGTAAAATTTTGTTGGTTTAATAACTTTACCTGAGAAAACAACAGAAATTATACAATTTAAAGTCTGATCAAGCAATATAAAGTAAAATGTATCAACTCTGTCGAATCAGTGTTCTACAGAGTGTACAAATTATGCATTTCTTATACTCGATTGATAAAATTGGGTGGAAGCAATATAAGATGACAGAAGAATCAAAGGAACTACGAATGCCAATATATTGGATTGTCAGAGAAGTAATTTCGGTATTTCAATGTGAAATAAAACTAAATTTTTTCAATGCAAGAAATGAACTTTAATTAGTCAAATATTTTCCATTCTGTTTGATGATGATCTTTCGCCATCTTTCTGATAACTTCATGATTCCGTGCACATAAAATTTCTGATCCTT